AAGCTCCCTCAGCTGAGTGTTCACAGCTTCCAGAGCCTGGCAACGCGACCAGACACAGTTATTTAAAACAATATATCATTGCAGCGTACGCGAGTGTTGGGTTGTTGTTTTATGCTTACTACTCATTACCGCCTCCAGAGACAAAGCTAACACTGACACCAAGGAATCACTCTGCAGTGGGGTTAATTCTGCGTGGATGTGCTTGTTTCTTCACCGTCTCTCACCTTGACAAAGGAGAAGGCAGGTCCGGGGCTGAAAGGCTGCTGCTCCTCCATGTTGAAGAGGAGTCGTGACGACACGGCGATAGTGATAGCATTCTCTGGCCTGGGCTGGAGGATGAGAGTTTAAAAATGTTTACATCCAGCTTGGGCTTTTTCTTTCACAAGCACAGTTGCTTTATGTGAATGCGAGGCGCTGATATTACTTTTTAAGTCACAGCTGCTTGTTGAAATAAATGATTTAAATAAGGCTTCACTGACAGACAACAGTGGGAACATAAGAGTGAGTTAGCTCATGTGACAGCGTGATATGAAGTACATTCCACTTGTCATTAATTTTGAAATGGTTACGGGCTGAGCTTGAAATCCATATTACTGTAATTTTTGCAATATTGAAGTACAACATAAATCCACAAGATATTTCAACCTGGAACCTGGAGAAAATATGTACAGGATGAAAAATGACTTCCACTGGTTAAAGGTACAGAAGCCCTTAGACGCCACACATTCATAAATGTTTTTAGTCCATTTTCCTGAGATAATGAGTTAATTTAATTAGTTTTAGAGATATGTATGTCATTATCTTGAAATAAATGTTTTTCCAAGATAACGGGAGAATTTCCTTGAGATCAGCTGATTTAGTTTTTATCATTTCGCCTCACTAAACAGTTAAAGCCTCACAATACCTGTGCAATACCTACAAGACTTCCCAGAGGTCACAATGAATGACACATCTTAGGGGGCTTCAATTCATTGTGCATCGTGCAGCTGGAGAGCCTAGGCACAAACTAAGCCTAACTGTCACACACCTAATATCTCAAAGTAATGTAGCTTTACATAACTCAGGGACCTCGCCCTAAAGGCCAGCTACCTGTCTTCGCCACCAGCAGCCCTAACCGGCATGTGAATGGTGTTGTGACGAGTTCTGCATGCACCTCGCGGGACGTAACACTCATTTATGCTGACAAAAAGGTGGAAGCAAATCTTATCTTATATAAATAAATCTGTTCTGCCGCATAATGCATCCACCTCTTAAGGTCCTTTTCAGATACTTTGCACTCTGATGAAATGCGGCTTTCACAATATATTTTTGCTGAATCTCAAGGATGCTACTTCTGCCAAGTGTCATAAAATACTCAACGTTCATAAAATATATCCTTCTAATCATTTATCGCCATTGATGTATCCCACAAAGAACAGTGTATCATTTTTAAATAGCACTTGGAGCTGCATGCAGAACATCAGCAGCCACCTCCAGCAATGCCTCCAAGCGCCGCTTCCCAGAACTGCGTAACCACCTCAACTCGTTCCCTTCAATCAAAACGTTTTGTGACACAAAAAAAGGCCTGTTTGTTTTTCATTACAAATTAGATTTTTGATGTCAGTGCGATACATTGTGGTAAGACATGAACTCCCCTGGAAACATGATTTGTGATATTTTGGAGGGTCTGCAATACAATGTGGGGACAGTATGCTTTTTATCCTTCATTTCTTTTTATCTGTATCATCATGAATAGTCAGGAGAGGGAACGATCACCGACCGTCTCATAGACCGACTATGTGTGTAGAAATGTTGATTTCCAAATTATTTTAATTATTTCATATTTTTAAGTATGGGTCTTGTTTGTTTGTACTGTACATCACTTTTTAACTTGGTTATGTGTAAGTGCTGTACAAATAAAGTTATTATTATTATTGCTCACACTTTGGCATCCGACTCAAGACGTTTACTTTTCTTTTGAGGACACATCATTTGAGGTCGGTAACGTTTGAACGGCTTTGAGTGAATTGATTGTCCATTGTCACTCGTTTGTGAGAACACAAATAGGCTGGCCGCACCTACATTTGAAGTGAACACGCACTAAAGCCTTTATGGTAAATGCGCTGAAGCGGACCAAAGCAAGCTGACAGGCAGGGTGAGCAACTCTATTCTGATATTTTCTCACTTTACAAACACAAGTATCGCAGTACGAGTCTCACCTGAAGAGAGGCTATGAAGTCTTAATTGTACCGATACAAGCACCACATATGATATAATTAATCACATGTTGGAATGGAAATAAAATGTATTGCATTATATTCACAGATAGTATAACAAATATTACATGTCCATTAGAAGTAAAAAAAAATTAAATAAAATAAACAATAACTTTAAAATGTTCTTTATTCTTTGATTCAAGGTGGCAGGCTGTAAAGGCAAAATCATATTAAAGTTTAAATTGTACTTAATTTTTCATTGGTAATATGTGCAATAAACGTTCTCTCTGCTTTCAAAAACTCTGGACTCAGGAACTGTAGCTGTAAATGGATGCTGCATAAGGAAGTCAGGGATACTCACTCTCTCTTTGGCAGGAGTTCCCATTTTAAGTTCAGTCCTGGTGCACTGATGAGATCAATCTGACTGCAGCTCTGCTTAATATTAAGGAATAGTATTGTCAAGAAAAACATACACTCACAAATTATTTCACTTGCATCTATAAAGAGGGCTTTAACTATTGATGAAATACAAAAACATGTTATTCATGCAGAGCTGTCCTGAGCAGATACATCTGATAATTAATAAATCTTTGATTATTTTGAAGGAACATTATTGCAAAGAAAAATGTATACTTACAAATTTTCACGTCAGCTTTGGGAGTGTCTTCCTTCTGTGTCTGAGATGCGACTCAACTGAGCTCAAAAGACAAGTGCAAGTGATAACCTGTTTGCATCTGTGGGCGAGGCTCCACCACATCATGTGTGAATATTTTTTGAAAAACTGAAACTTACGAACAACATTAATGTAAATAGAAACAGAAACATTAGATTACTCCTTCTAGTTAACATGATTTATGACTATTTAACTTTTGGATACATATTGAAGTAAATAGGGAGAAAAAAATAATGCGTTTGATTATAGCGACGCCGTTGTAACCATGGTTGTAACCATGGTTGTAATGTTTACAGGCAGGGGGTGCCGCACGAGAAGGTTTTCGACTCCATCTTCTGTTGTCTGCCTTGCTATCTTGTTTCTTGGACTCTACTACCAGCCACTCTGTCAGTAAGTGTGCTCGCCTTTTGTTTGTTTTCCCTCAATAAACCCCCGTTGAACTGTACCTCCTCTGCCTTGCGTCCTGCGTTTGGGCCCTCCAACCTGCCTTACCACCACTTACCGTAACACAGCCATTGTCCAGAGAAAATGCAAAAGGATGGAATCTGATGGTGGTCAGAATGATTCTTCCTCTTCACAGCAGGAGAAAGAAACCAAACACTTTGTTAACATCTTCATCATCAAAGGAAGTGACCAGTGAGTCTTTTAACAATTTTTTTTTTTTACAATAATAAAGTATTCCTCATCCATAATAACCTTTTGTCTTCATCACTTTTACCACTCCTTACACATGAAACATACTATTTCTTTCTCCCTATTTACTTCAGCAAGTATCCAAAAGTTCATCATGTTGACTTGAAGGAGTAATCTAATGTTGCTGTTTCTATTTACATTAATGTTTTCAGAAGTTACTCACACATTATGTGGTGCAGCCTAGCCCACAAAAGCAAACAGGTTTTCACTTGCAAACATTGTCCATTGAGCTCAGATGACTCCCATTTTAGAAACAGAAGGCAGACACTCCAAAAGTTGACATGGAAATTTCTGAGCATACATTTTCTTTGCAATACTCTTACTTCAAAATAATCAGAAGATTTATTGTCATCAAATATATCTGTTCAGGACAGCTCTGCGTGAATAACTTGTTCTCTTTATAGATGCAAGTGAAATCATTTGTGGGTGTACATTTTTCACAAAGCCATGCGTTGAATACACAGCTGGCCTTTCACAGTGCAGTGTAGGACTCGTTCTGAGGTCCGACACTTTCGTGGCTGCGCTCCATTGACTCTAATGCAAAAAGTCATTTTCTAGCTATTTTTGGCTGTATTTTTCCAAGACCTGGTCAAAAGCTGTTCCCGGGGCACTTAACTAATAGTTACAGTTGTTACCCAGCGAGGTTGACAGGAGAAGTGCGATTTATTCTCTTTCCAAAACATAAAATAAATACAGAAAAATGTCGGCTGTGGATTGTTCCTAATGTGATGTTAATTAGCTAATGCTAGCTAACTTACCACTGAATCTAACTTAATAAAGCCCTACTGTTCTGCTTTTTAATGATTGTAATAATGAGAAGAGGCCTACCCGGCTTCAGTTCAGCTTTTAACAATCTGCAGCCTCACATGCTCATCCAGAAACTGAAACGCATTACTGTCAACTCTTTTATTCTCAACTGATATTTCACTTTTTTAACAAACCGTACTCAACAGGTGAGTGAATAATGCTCTCACGGAGCCAGGCCAATCAGCACGGGTGCCCCTCAGGGCTGTGTCAGCTCTCCAGTCCTCTTTACACTGTATACTAAAGACCGCACTAGACTCCACGCTGACAATTATATTATCAAATTCTCAGATGATACAGCAATCCTCGGCCTTATGCGCAAAGATAGAAGCCCAGCAGCACATCATACGTAAATTGAGGAATTTGTCCAGCGGTGTGACGACAACTATCTTGTTCTAAATGTGACCAAGACTGAGGAGATGGTGTTTGACCCCAAGGCCACAGGTGACACCAGGCCTGTAGTGATCAACAACTTGCACATTACTCAGGTTAAAGTACCTTGGTGTACATATCGATAATGCACTTAGCTGGAAGGACCACGTGAATACTCTCTGCTCCAGACTTCAACAGAGGATGTGTATAGAGTCGAGCAGAGATGTTATGTTGATGTTGTATTATCATCAATACTAGAGTAGTATTCTAAGATACGGTATGTTCAATCAAAACTGGCATTGGAAGAAGGAGTCAATGCGCTACTTTATACGTCTAGTGTATATGACAGCATGAGTTGTGCCGCATGAGAATATGTGTTGAGAGATGCTTTATGTCTGTATTTTGTGTTGTCTTGTAAAGAACGGACACAGTCCAAAACAAATTTCCCTTCGGGGACAATAAAGTCTATCTTAATCTAATCTTTACGGGAACAGTGTTGATCGTTCATATCGTTGTCTTGTCTCAATCGTCGGGGGATGCGGTGATTCACTTGTGCTGTGTGATCGGTAGGCTTTAACGTTAGCTTCTATCTTTCATTTTTTTCATGTCCGTTTGAGTCAGTCTGAGTCAGTTTGACAGCCTGAATACAACCTTCAAATGTATAATGAAACTTCAAAACTGTCTGCTTCTCTCTGAGATCGCTTTTTCCAACGAATTTGACAATATTTCTCTGCGGAGTGCAGTGATAGACAGTGGCAGCGCCGACAGTTTCTTAGCAAGAGTAACTAAGGGAGGCTTAGCGAATGGTCAATTCCTTCATATTAAGCACGTCTGCAGCTGCAGTCAGATTGATCTCATCTCCTGAGTGCACCAGGACTGAACTTAAATTGTGAATGTCTAAGAGTGAGTAAGGCAGTAGTAGAATGATCAGTAAAGTGTAAAGGGATAGCCCAACAGGTAGTAAATGGAAATGGAGAAAATGTTTCCTTGCTGCTTCAAACTTTTACTTGCCCAAGGGTGCTCGTCCTGTTTTTAAGGGTGCAGCAGGAGTACAATTACTCTGTTATGTGATTTTGATCACAACATACAAGGTTGGTTTCAGTGATTATCAGAGACACACACCCAGTTGTTTGTGATTGCTCAGCCAGCCTTCATTTACAGGAAATGTTTTGGGACTCGTTTTCTGTCATGTAGGTATGAAGTTGAAATTTCACCAGGATTGTCTACCATTTTATTTTACACACAAGATGTTATGCCACAAACTAATCTGAAACATGTATGACATATATATAAATATATATATTCTCTAGCATTAAATGTCTTCTCTGTTTCTCTGGGTCAGACTCTCTAACAGCCCTCTGGTGTATGAGCTCTGCCCTTCAGCTGATTCACTCTGTTATTCTTACTTTTAATAAATATCACAGACACCTGTTTGTTGTAACTTTTGTTGCTTCTAAATTTCTTCAGATTTTGGCGGTTCTGCTGTCATTATTGGAGAGATTAAGCAATTTGTCTATGATGCATTTTTCTGAAGTTATTTTGGGCCATAGGTCACTCTGTGTTGCATGCTGGGACCTAGTTCCATCTGTTTAAACCATATTAAAATGTTTTGGGATACGTATTTGGTATATATTATACATTTGATATACATATAGGTGAAGATGTACTTAAGTTTAGACGTTCTGCAGGATGTGTCTTTGTATTTACTTCTGTTTTGGACTAAATCAGGTCTGTCGGTCATTGTCGTCATTTGGTATACAAAGAGTGTTGTGGAAACTTGTGTTCAGTTTGTAGTTTTTTGTCTCATTTTTTTGTAAGATTTCGGCCCAAGATGGACGTCCATTTTGGTCCAAATTTATCCAAATCTGAAACTACACTAACATTTCATATAACCATTCACAGGTTAACAACACATCCCAAAGTTAGGCAGTATTGTGCTTAATAAAAAAAATTGCTCTTGTCTAATAGACAATGCAACTGTTGTTAGGGCCCGAGCACAACCGTGCGAGGTCCCTATTGAATTTGCTAAGATTATATTTTTAGGGCCCGAGCACAACCGTGTGAGGTCCCTATTGAATTTGCTAAGATTATATATATATTTTTAGGGCCTGAGCACGACCGTGCGAGGTCCCTATTGAATTTGCTCAGATTTTTATTAGGGCCCGAGCACGACCGTGCGAGGTCCCTATTGAATTTGCTAAGATTATATATATATATATATATATATATATATATATATATATATATATATATATATTTAGGGCCCGAGCACGACCGTGCGAGGTCCCTATTGAATTTGCTCGGATTATTAGGGCCCGAGCACGACCGTGCGAGGTCCCTATTGAATCGAGCACGACCGTGCGAGGTCCCTATTGAATTTGCTCGGATTATATTTTTAGGGCCCGAGCACGACCGTGCGAGGTCCCTATTGAATTTGCTCGGATTATATATATATCCAACGAAGGTTAAAATGAAGGGCAACTGGACTTGGTTGAAGCTACTGGAAGACGTTTCGTCCCTTATCCAAAGGACTTCTTCAGTTCTGACTGACTGGCAGGGAAACTCAGCTATTTAACCTCAGTGGGGTCGTTATCTCGGGTCATCGATACCGCTGGTTCGTTAGTGTTCCTTGTTGCTGTGACGACAGTCGTTACAGTCGTTGAGACTACCTGTGGCCAAGACTGAATGACCATCGTTGGTATCTTCACCTGAGGCCAAGACTGAACGACCATCGTTGGTATCTTCACCTGAGGCCAATAGGTTACGTTTGTTGAGTTTCCTGGGAAGTGATGAAAGGACAGCATTGTAAGTGGGGGATAAGTGGTGGCGTAGACCCCCTCCCCTGTTCAATGACGGCTTCTCCACCCTGGTGTAGATGCTTCCTTGACACCTCTTTCAAACCATCCATCTTCTCTGTCTAAAATGTGCACCTGGTGGTCCTCAAACGAGTGTCCTTCAGATGTAAGTAGACAGCAGAGTCTTGACCTGAGGAGTTGGCCCTTCTGTGTTGAGCCATGCGTTTGTGTAGTGGTTGTTTAGTCTCCCCAATATACAGGTCTGTGCATTCCTCACTGCATTGGACCGCATACACTAGATTGCTTTTCTTGTGTTTGGGTGTGCGGTCTTTGGGGTGTACCAGTATATGTCTTAGTGTGTTCTTGGGTTTAAAAAACACAGGGATGTTATGTTTGTTAAAAATCCTCCTGAGTTTCTCTGATACTCCAGACACGTATGGAATCACAATGTTGTTGCGTTTGACCTTCTTTTCCTCCTCCCCTGTAGTTTTGTTCTTCTTGGATTTGTGGCTGTCTTCACAAAA